TTTTAGATTTGTCTGATACCTTAATCATGTTCTTCTATTTCCTGTAAACTGGTAGTTAGCTTTAGAGGCTTGCTTAGATTTAACTTCGTCTTTTGGGTTGTTTATTTTTGACCAGAATACTTCATAGGTAGTATTGGATGTTATGCATAGATTTAATGTCTATTAAAGTAAGTATATATTGTATGGAATTTATTTGAATAAGAAGCAAACTAGTAAAGAAGGAAAACAATATTGTTTCTGGTTACTGTTTTTTAGCCAGAAGATCAGCTGCCATGTTACTTGACTCACACTAACCGTAGAGTGGATGAGATTGTCCTTGAGAACCTTCACCTCAATAGTCATGTTAAAGAAACTACAAGAGGACCCCGGTAAGGACAAAATATCAGTGCTCAGTTACTTTAAGGAATGGTGTCAACCCTCTTTTGGTTGTTTCAATTTTTAAAATTTCAATCTCTTATTCTAGATACTGTCCCTCCATTGAATCAAAGGTTTTGCGTTTTCCAAACCGTCTGCATCAGGTTTGGTTGGAACCGGAAGGAATGGATTCTGACCTTATCTATCCCCAAGGGTTATCTATGACGCTACCAGCTGAGTTACAGGAAAAAATGCTTACATGCATCAGAGGCTTGGAGAAAGCTAAAATGATTCAGCCAGGTAAAGGGGGTCACAGCTGCCCTTCAGCATAACTCAGCCCTGCTTTAGCCGTCAGGGAGGAGGGCTCAGCTATAGTCATTGTTGCTTAGGGCCTCAGACGATGAAGCCCAACATCTGTACATTTAAAATAATCTTGTTTTTGAAGAGCATTTAATGGTATTCTTTGCATCTCTACCTTAAGGCAAATCCAGCTCCTGTTTTACTTATTTTATGCCATTTTTTTCTTTGGTCAGGCTATGGTGTTCAGTACGATTACTTAGATCCCCGTCAGATCGCTCCTTCCCTAGAGACTCATTTGGTTCAACGGCTCTTCTTTGCTGGACAGATCAATGGCACCACTGGTTATGAGGAAGCTGCAGCTCAAGTAAGAGGTTACAGAAATGTTACTGTAAATCAAGAGGACTGTTTAACTTATATTCCTCCTTTTAACGTCTGTTGTGTTAACTATATAAATCTTAATACAACTCATAACTGCAACAGAAGGTGGTTTCTGTTTTAGGGTATATGGACATGGCTTTTGTAAATAATAGGATTTTAAAAACCCATGTGGCTTTATTACTCTTTTCTGAGCTCCCATATCTCATACTGTATTTTGATTAGATTATTACATTGCTTCTGAGGCTTAAAAAAAGAAAATTTAACTATTTTAACATAACTTTATTGAAAATTATTCCTTGTAAGTGGGGAATTATGTTACTTTTATTTGTAAGTGGGAAAGGGCTAGAAAATTTTCACAGGCGGGTTTAAAAAAAAATATTAGCACACCCC